TTGTGTGCATTTCGGTTTTTTCTAAATGTTTTGCTTTATTTTTTAATCTTTTTAATGCGGAAGACAATTTAAATATTTGTCTTTATTATTGATAATTTATATAACATATAATAATTTTATATTACACCGCTGAGTTTGCCTTTTTATTGACTTCTTCTCATTTTCTCTTTGATTTTTGTTTTTGTATTGCAATAATTTAGTTTGTTTACTTCAATGTAGCGCCGGTTTCGAAAGTGTTTATTTGCCAAGTTTTCTGACACGGAGCACACGGTTATATATTTATGTATGTACATACATATATGCAAATGTCGTGTGTTGTCGTTTACGAAACATCTTCAAGCGCTTTTAATCCATTTGGCTGTTTGCCAGTTATGAAAACAAAAGACTTCAACAAAAGCAACGAACTTGCGTCGAAATGCTGGTATGTATGTACATATATATACTCAAGTAACTATCTATATACCATATATTTAATTATTTGAATTAATTGCTTAACTGTTGCTTATCGCTATTTCATGCACACACACTCTCATTTACAACTATATTTGTATATATGTGTATTTATGTGAAGCTTTTTCCAAAAAGCCGAAGTTTATATGGTTTACCGTTGAAAATCGCAGCCAAAACAAACTTTCTTCATGTACAAAAATTACGGTTAATTTTGTTTATTTCAAAGTTCATTGACTGCCCGAAGTTAATTAAAATGTGTGTCATGTGCAACTATTCGGAACTAATGAACGTTTTGTTTACTAACTTTGAAGGCGATTTAACTCATGAATTGGTGTTTAATATGGCACGACTACTTATTAACTATGTACAGTTACACTGTAAGAGACTAAATTATATTGATACACTTTTATTTTGTGTAAAATAATAAGTAATAAATTAACTATTTTTGCGCGTATGTGGCTTTGACAGGCCGTTTTATATGAATGGGTGAGATGATAAGCGAGTGCAAATTTGCGTGGGTTATGTACATATACTTATATATAAGAAAAATAATATAAAGAAAA